CGTATAAAAAATATATACGTAGTATGCTCTCAATTTGTACATATCGATATATATTAATTACAATACTTTGTGATATCTGATATTTTGTTTTGAAAAAAAAATGGGTTTCGCCGAAATAAAATTTTGGGAAGGTTATAACTATGAGCATGGTAAAAGAGTTGTTCAAGACAAGTTTAGAGCATTTCAATGTTATCAAGAAGCTGCTGACATGGGATTCGTCAGAGCGATTTTTTTTCTTGGCCACTGTTATCGTTACGCTGTCGGAACACCTAAAGATTACCATAAAGCATTCAAACGGTATATGGAAGCTGCCTCAAAAGAAGATTCTCTTGCCATATGCCATGTTGGCCATTGTTATAACAAAGGAATTGGAATCAATATGAATAAGTATGAAGCATTAAAATGGTATCAAAAAGCCGCTGAGAGAAATAATGGAAGTGGACTTTTTCAAATTGGATATCATTATGAAAATGGATTCATACTCGAATGTGATAAGCAGAAGGCATTCGAATGTTATAAAAGGTCTGCCGAAGTTGGTGATTATGTTGGGATGTGTCATCTTGCGCGTTGTTATAGGAAAGGGATTGGTGTTAATATTAATGAAGAAAGTGCTTTTCGATGGTATCTGAGATCCGCTAAAGGTGGTAATGCAGGTGGAATAAATGGTGTCGCATTATGCTTTGAAAAAGGAATCGGTGTCCAAATGGACAAACATCAAGCCTTAGAATTGTATTCAAAAGCCGCTGATTTGGGTGACTCTTTCGCTGAAGAAAATCTTGATCGGTTGCATGCAGAACTTGAGTATGTGAATTATTACGATGAGGTTTATTACGGTGAGGATTATGATGATGAGGATAATGACGATGAGAATAATGATGATGATGAGAATAATGATGGTGAGAATAATGATGATAAGGATAATGACTATGAAGACGATGACGATGAGGATGATGGAGATGAGGATAACGACGAAAATGGTAATGATAAATTCCCGGCGCTGAGTGGAAAAACTTAAAAAAAAAAAATTGTAATGGTTCAGCTCCAAATCAAAATGCAAAAAATAAGCCAAATTTCAATTAGAACTATGTTAGTGATTACCTTTTAGTAATATATCTTTCCACAACATATGTATATATCGGTTGTCTCATTAAACATGTTACACGAATTTGTACATTTATAATTACAAATTTTACATCAGAAGTAAAATTATTAATAAAAACAAAAGATATGCATGCACATACAGTAACTCGATTAAATTCGGTTTAAATTCAACCCGATTTAGCTTAAATATTAACTGAAATTCAATTATATGTAAATTCAATTCGGTTAAATTCGATGATTGATTTGCAATCGCAATGGCTGTGCTCGGTTTATGATCACGTTATAATGTTCATAAAAACATCAGGAACTATATAATCTGATTTGTCAAAAATACATATATGCAATTTTTCTTGTATATTAAACGCCAAATTTTTGAAACACAAACTTTAAAGTGTTATAACTTTTTACAATTATAAAAAATCCATTCTAATAGAAATTTAGCTTGAATAAAAAACAACAAATCTGTAAGAGGGGTTTTGGTAAAACTATTTGAATTACAAGGCTTTGACTTCGAATTTGAATATCAATGTGACCACCAAAATCATGTAATATATCTCTTCTTTGCCCATAGAATCTCTGTTGCATTAACACGTACCTATTCTACTATGTTATTAATATATTATATATACAAAAGGAATAGATATAAAATGCCTCTAATGAATGTTGTTGGGGTGTCAAGTTTTAATACAACATTTTTTCTGTTTTGCTTTTCTAAGTAATAAAACAGAAGCTGACTATAAGTGGAGTTTGACTTGTGTGTTAAAGATTTTTAATAGATCTACTTGTCTGAATGTTATTGTTACAGATAGGGAATTAGTGTTAATGAAGGCTATCAATAAGGTTTTTCCTAGTATACAACATATCTTATATATATGGCACATAAATAAGAATATTCTGGCTAAGTATAAGCATCATTTCATCACAAATAAGAATTGGTTCAAATTTATAAAAATGTGGTAAGTGGTAGTAACATCGAATACTAAACAAGAATTTACAACCAAATGGGATGAATTTTTAAAATATTATATGAACAAACTTGAAGCTTTAAAATATATTCAAGAAACCTTAATACAACACAAGGAGCATTTTGTTTCTGCCTAAACCAATCATTATTTGCAACTTAGTAATACAGTAACTTTATAAGTAGAAGCTGTATACACTGCTTTTAAAAGGTGTTTAGAGTTATTTACTGGTATAAATAGTAAATGATTTAAACTTTAATATTATAAATTATAATAATAACAATAAAAAAATTGTAATCTCAATTCAGGTGATCTTAAGTCAGTGTATAGTGCATGTAGCCTAAAACTAATATCATGTAACTTGTTATAACTATATAAAATAAAAAAAAGTTATATCTAATAATATTAATATTATAATAAAATTGTTTTTTTGTAAATCAATTATTTAAAGCTTATATTAAATTATTGAATGTTTTATAGAATAGGTAGGCAAACTCTGCAAATTTCGCAACTCTAATATTAAAAATTAATGATTACTAATCATTAGCAAAGCTTATTTCTTATATTGCCCACCTATTTTATAGAATATTCATATTATTACAAAAAGATTTTTTTTTCTTTGCTTCAATAGAATTAAAATTATTAGTTAAAATATTTTTATATATTTTAAAATTTTGGTTACTAATATAAATTTTTTAAAAAATTTATATTTTGTTAAAATTTGATTGGCTAATTTTTATGTAAAACAAAAATTTTTATAATAAATTTTTTTTAAAATTTTGCTATCTTTAGTCACATGATGTTGGTTATAAACTATATGCATCATACTGAAAATTGTATTACAAATAAAGTTTCAGACAAGAGAAATCTGTATAACAATTTCTTTTCAATATATGAAAATACAACATATATACCAGATTTCTTTGTTCAAACCTATTCTATACTGTGTTTCTGCTTTCATCTTAAATAAAATTCACAATTAGTTAATTAAAGTATCAAATATTATCCTAAATATTTCTTTAAAGCCTTGTACTAAAATTTTTAAATCAATGATAAAACTCTTCTGTTCACATATAATTAATGAATATCTAGCAACTAACCAAGCATTACAGTAAGCTGATATTTATAAACATTAGTGGATTCAAAGCTATTGTATAAAATTTTTAGAATCTACACATCTTAATAATAATAATTATACTAATTTTGAATCTTTTCTTTAACATCTTATACAAAAATATCAATATTAGTCACCACATTAACAAGTTGTTATTTATTTTTAACTAAAAGAGTTGGTAAATACTCCTTCTGTTATTTTAGAGAACTTAATTGTTAGTAAATTATGAGAAGGACCAGTTGGTGCAAAAAACAAAACTAAAAAAATAATATAAATTTGAATATATTGAAAAATAGTTAAGACAATATAGTAAATACCACCAAGTTGGTTACAATTGTTGAACTTGTCTTAATATATCTAATTAGTATATATAAACTTGTATAATAGCACAAACTTGTTACTAGTTATAAATTTAAACTAGTGTTATATTTAAATTTGTCTATTAAATAAACTTGTTTGCTTTAAATATATTAGATTTTATATATAGTAAAATGATGAATATAGAAGTTGTATAAATATAAATATTAGTATAACTACCATAATTTGGCTACATAAACTGCTCAGAATCTCTTAAAATTATTAGTAAAAAAATTACATGAGATATACTATAAAGGGTGGTAAATTAGTATTTAAAACTAAAATAGTAATTTGTATATATGCTATTTTGAATTTATATCTCTTTATTCAGAGTCATATGACTAAGTTCAGAAATCAACTTTAATTATATGGGAGTAATATTAACAAAAATAGGAGTGGCATTAACAATTCTTTAAATAAATATTAAAAATACTGTATATTTTAAAATTAATATATACTGTTATAATAGTACTTTATAAAGAAAAATTTAAAAAAAAACAAAAAAAAAGTTTTGGTATTGTAATGATTAAGAATGGATCGACGATGCATTAGGCGCAGATGGTGGATCGATTGCATAATTATTTACATTGCATAATTAGTCTATATAGCAGATGTAGCAGATTTGGCGAAAATAGCATATCAAGTAGATTTAGCATAAATAGCAGATTTGACCGAAATAGCATAACTAGCACATATAGCATATATAGAATAGTTAGTATAATTAGCGAATATAGTATATTATGTAGATATGTAATTAGTATATAAGTGTAAGCATTTATTAAGTTGTAAGAGGTCTCAAAAAAACATCATAATCAATAAACTATCTATTTGACTCCGCCAAATCGAACGTCCTCTTTCGAGACATTACAGTATTCTCATTGAACATTACGCAAACCCTTTCCCAGTTTACCCTAACGAGTAGGGATTTTTAGGCGTACGTTCTTCCTGCATAACATTTGGTGGTGACTGTGAGATACGCCCATATCTCCCCCCTTGATATAAAGAAAATTGAGAAGGCACGAATATTGGGGAAAGATATTAGGAAATTAGAAGTAAACTACGGAACAATAAACGTATATACTCTAAAGATATGAGTAAACTAAAGACATTAAGAAGACTAAACGGCTAAAGACAAGCAAGAGTCAGAGTTACAAAGAAAAGACCAAAGCCGGAACAACAAAAGCAATTGTAAAAGTTGAAGCTTAAGAAGAAAAAGCCGAGACAATTAGTTAGATAAAGTTTAAGGACGAAGCACCAAAAGATTTTAAAACAAGAATAGTATTTGAGAATACTTCCCTGACGTAATACGGTTGTAGGAAATAACCGAAAGAAAGAAAAACAAGTTTTCGGAATTACTCGAAAATCGACGTAGTAAAAGAAACTGGTCCAGCAACATTTTTTTTTTTTTTTTTTTGGAACAAAAATAAGCAACAAAGTGTTTAAGAAGATAAATCAGCAACTACATAATGCAAGTGTAATTCAAAGTCTAATCGAAGGGATCGACAAACAAACAACAAGTGGAATTAGAAGTGACGAAATAAACTCTAGGGATTGATGATTATACAACAAAGCATTAAGCAAAGTCTGTCACAAAGATCAGCATTTAAAATAGAACAATAGGATACTTATATCATAACCCGAAAAAAAAAAAAAAAAAAAGTGAAAGACTTGAACAAATAGAACATATACATCAGAAAAATTATCAAAGTGACAGACTTTTGGCGTGAAAAACTATCAAACTTCAGGACAAAAATCGTTGAAGACCATTGATACCCAAAACATATCGTCATAGCAAAAGCAACACACTTGGAAAATTCGTATAAATTAAAGAAAATAGAATTTTTATTTTCCATCTCTCTCTCAATTTTTTCAAACATACACGAATCCACTTATTACTAAAAACTTTAAAAATCTTAGAACTTACAGCTGAAAAAGCGTAAAACTTTACAAATACAGAATTTTTTTTTTTTTTACAATCACCCAAACTGAACGAACAAAAGAATCTCACAAGTGCTAAGGGCGTAAAGAAAACTTTCGGTCTTGGCTTACAAGGATCAAAACGACCACTGTCTCCACCGAAACTTACAGACCCGGAAGGAAGTCCTACGACAGCAAAAGCACCTGAAAAGAAAGACATTATAATGGACCCGACACAACTACAATTGCTATTTGACAAAATGTCCAAATCCTTTGAAGATACAACAAAAAGGATTCTTACAGCTAACAAACCTGAACAAAAAGAACTGAACCTTATAGTAATCAGGAAGTTCTATGGACGAGAAGATGAAGACCCGATTGAATGGTTGGAAGTATTCGAACAAGCCGCAGCAACAAACAACTGGAATAACGAAAGAAGAATTACGATAGCCGCTGGGTACCTCAGTGACTTAGCAGCAGACTGGTATCGAGAAAACAAGGAAGATATTAAAAAGTGGACCGATAAAAACAACCTAGATGAAAGTTTTTTTCACTTACTCTCAACATTTTTTGCAACACCTGACCGACACCACCGTTGGCAGATAGAATTAAACGCCCTCACACAAAAACCTGGAGAAAAAATCGACTCGTACGCCACAAAATTCAAACGACTTCTGCGTAGAGTTGAAACTAGTGGAAAGTTACCTACTCCATATGTTGTACGAATGTTCCTTGGAGGATTAAACAGAAAAATAGCAACGTACGTTACCATAACCGCCCCTACAATGCTTGACGCCGCAATTTCTTGTGCAAAAAAAGTTGAAGCCGGCGAATATTATGGCCAACAAACGCCGTAACAATCACAAAGAACTACAAGCGATATGGAAACCCTAATAAAGGCAATGAATGAAATGTCTATTAACTATGCAAATATGGTAACATCGGCTACACAACAAAGAAATTGGAATCAAAGAAAAACTTATCAGCCCAATCAAAGGCATCAAAGCAACCAACGTCCACGAAACCCCGACATTGTATGCTTCAACTGCAATAAGAAAGGCCATATTGCACGAAATTGCACCCTCCCTAAAAATAATCAAGCACAAAAATATGAATATAACGAGAATTCTCAACCCAAGAAAGTTAATTATTGTGAAGTGACCAAAGAAATCAACGATAACAATGTATGGGTAGAAGAACTATATAATATGGACCAACCAATTACTGAAAAACGAAGAGGTCGCCCTCCCAGAAATAATGCAGAAAACAAGGAACGTAAAAGAAAGAGGATGGTGTCCCCACCTTCGTTAAATTTCGACGAAACAATGGCTCCAAAAAACGACATCGAAGTACTTCCCTCTGCCTCCAAAAATTTGAGTAAACCTAGGTGAAAAAGTGGACTATCGATTGTTGATAAACTCGAACTATACAATATTGCCAACGATATTTTGGCCATGAAAGCAAATACTACGTTTGGACAACTCCTACAATACCCAAATCAACGTAGGAACGTAGCTAAGGTTATGAGGAGGCCCTCTAACTCTAAAGAAGCAAACCTTGTGGACCCTCAACCAACTCAATGTACCACAGCTGCGAAATGTTATATACAAATTGGTGATGATCCCGTAATTGCCGTATTAGATACAGGCGCATCCGTAAGTATCATAACAAAAAGGTTGGCAGACCGATTGGGACTTAGAATTAACGAAGAATCAAGAACCGTAGTTGTAACTGCAACAGGAGCAAGAGAACGTACCTTAGGCAAAATTACGAAAGTCAACATCGATATTTCAAACGTAAGAATACCTACGGCACTTCAAGTCTTGGAATCAGTTGATGAAACATTGTTATTAGGAACTGATTGGTTCCAAAAAGCTAGAGCCATGCTAGACTTCGACAAACAAAAATTAGTTATCAGATATTTAGGAAAAGGTTTGAAGTACCTATAATGCATACGGATAAAGGCAAGCAAAAAGCACAAATACCGGAAATTGATGAATCAGGTGACCACGATGAAGACAACGCTGATGAATTGTTTGATGAACTTGAGTACGAAAGTGAAGAGCTTGAAGAACTTGAAAGTTTTTCGTCTGATTGTATATCATCCGATGAAGAAAGTATTGTAAAAAAAAAAAAGGATACAAAAATAGTTGAAATTGAAAGCCCGGCTGTATGTTTGGCGGTGATGGAAGAAATTCCAACCGATAAGAAAGTACCCGCTGATGAAAAACCAACAATAGAAGAACAATTAAATAAGATCATTGACGATACAAATATTGAAGAAAAATATAAAGAGAGCGTAAAAGAGTTATTTAAAAACAATAAGAACTTATTTGCAAATGGACTAGAAGAACTTGGATGAACAAACCTCGTGAAACACGTGATCAAGACCCAAGATGCCGAACCCATCAAGCAACCGCCGTATCGATTGGCCCCAAATGAACAAGACTTTGTGCGTAAAGAATTGGAGAAGCTAAAAGAAAAAGGTTTAATTAAGGAATCGTTCAGTCCATGGGCATCACCTATAGTGTTGATGCCGAAAAAAAACGGAAACTTAAGAATGTGCGTTGATTATAGACGTTTGAACAAAGTTACAAAAAAGATGCATACCCTATCCCACACATCGACGATCTTTTGGAAGCTTTCGGCGGTGCTCAATGGTTTAGTAGCTTGGACCTTGTCAGTAGCTACTGGCAGGTCCAAATGAACGAAAAAGACTGAAAAAACAGCGTTTGTTACGAAATATGGAACCTTCGAATTTACGGTCATGCCTTTAAGTCTCTGTAACGCCCGGCAACGTTTCAGAGACTGATAGATAGAATTCTTGGTCTTTTTGTTGGTAAATTCGTCGCAGTATATCTCGACGATATCAATATTTACTCTCATACCTTTTCAGAACACATTAACCATTTGAATTTAGTATTTCAACAAATAAGCAATGCAGGTCTTAAGTTAAACTTAGAAAAGTGCCAATTTTTTTTACAAAACCTACATTTTTTAGGCCACATAGTTAGCAAAGATGGAATTCAACCAGACAAGGCTAAAGTGAACAAAGTGCAAAATTTCCCGGTGCCCCACAACATACGACAATTACGCGGTTTTTTGAGTTTATCATCATATTACCGCAAATTTATTAAAAATTTTGCAACAATTGCAAAACCCCTGCATCAATTACTTCAAAAAGACGAACAATACAACTGGACTAACAATCAGCAACAATCTTTCGACACTCTCAAACGACACTTAATTTTGGCCCCAATCCTACGATATCCGGATTTGAACGACGATTTTTTCTGCATACCGATGCCTCGGGAGTAGGCTTAGGTGCCGTTTTGACCCAAGTCGGTGACGATCGTAAAGAATACGTTGTCGCTTACGCATCAAGAAGTCTTACAAGGCCAGAACGTAACTATTCTACGACGGAACAAGAGTGTCTTGCCGTTATCTGGGCAATCGAACATTTATACCACTATCTTGGCTATAGGCCATTTACTGTTGTAACTGACTATTCAGCGTTGAAGTGGTTGGAAACTTCGAAACTGAAAGGCTGCCGTGCTCACTGGATCCTCCGTTTAAAACCATATAATTACAGCATTGAACACTGTCCCGGGCGAAAACACTCTAACGCAGACGCTCTTTCTCGCATTAAAAAAAAAAAAAAACGTAGAAAGAAAACAACGCAAGAAAAGAAAAATCTGGACCCAATACAGCCCAGGTAACCGGTATCCTGGCACCCACGAAGAAATAATAACAATTGGAAAAAAAAAAAAAAAAAGAGAAGAGAAAACAGCAGAATTTTTTTTTAACTATAACACTTGGACATTTTTTTTTAGCACCAGACCATTTTTTATTCATACCACAAATCTTTTGAAAGCAACATTCTTAGCTCTACTATTAACATAAGGACTCTTTTTATACTTACTTATTTTGTTTACCCTATTCACTTCAATCAAACAATTGAACTTATCAAATTATTTTTTTGAACACTTAGTGGCCCCAAAATTCCTTTTAGAATTCCCTAGCAATATTACTTGAAATAGAGTGTTGAATTATTGTCACTCATATTATTATTATTAAAAAAAAAAAAAAAAAAAAAAAAAAAAAAAAGAAATATGGACTCAACACATTACCATCAATTACGGCGCTACATATTAAATCAACAACTACCATTGAGCGTGGATAAGCAAGAACAACGATGCATAATTTCGAAGTCTAAGTTTTTTAAAGTGAAAGAAAATATATTATACCGAAAAGACCAACGAGAAAAGGATAACTGGTTAAAAGTCATACAGACGTTTGAAATCGAACCCATATTGTTTTTAGCACACAATCATCCGACTGGAGGACACATGGGTCAAGCTGCAATGTTCGAAAAAATTAGAAATATTATTTTTGGCCTCAAATGTTCGAAAGCATCAAAGAATATGTACGTACGTGCGATTCATGCCAACATCGAGGGAAAAACAAGCTACAAGAACTGCTCTACCCTATTCAAGTGGACTCACCATTTTTTCGAATTGGCATCGACATCGTAGGGCCCTTGCCCATAACACCTCGGAAGAAAAGATATATAGTCGTGGCCACTGACTATATGTCGAAGTGGCCCGAAGCAAGAGCACTCGAAAAAGACAATGCAATTGATCTGTAGGCATGGCTGCCTACAATACATAGCATCGGACCGTGGCACACATTTTAAAAACGAACTTATTACAGCACTATTAAAGAAATTCCAAGTCAAACACAAACTGTCGACCCCCTATCATCACCAAAGCAATGGCCTTGTTGAACGATACAATAAAACATTATGTGAATCATTAGCAAAAACAATACAACATGTTGTCGATTGGGATCAATTTATTCAGCCAATATTATTTTCATACCATGCTGCAAAACAAAGTTCAACAAGAATGACCCCGTTCTTTCTAGTATATGGAAGGGAGGTCCGTTTGCCCCTGCACCCCAGTAATACCCCTGATATTTTAGATGGAACCATTATTCAGAGAACATTTAATTTGTTAAACAAAGTACCCGATCAACGAAATAAGGCAGTGAAACAAGTACAATCAACACAAGTAAAACAAAAAGAACAATACGATCGATGTATTAACATTACACCTGTGTTTCAAATAGGTGGAAAGGTTTTATTATTCGATGCGGCTCACCAGATATCCCGTAGCCACAAACTAAACCCAAAATAGAAAGGTCCATTTTTCATACATAATGTTTTAATTAATGGGTCTTATAAATTACGGACGTTGGATGGGAAAGTTCTTAAGTCTCCCACCAACAAAGCCCAGCTAAAAAGATACCTGGAAGCCCAACGAAAGAAGTAGTCTAAGGGACGACAAAATATAGAAGGTGCTTGGAAAAAAGAAGAAGGTGTAGAATAAGGAGAGGAGAGAATAAATAAATCAAAAAAAAAAAAAAAAAAAAAAAAAAAACGAGAAAAACTTCAAAAAAAAAAAAAAAGAAAGTTAAAATAAATAGAAAGGAAGAAAATAGAGCGAAAGGAGAAGAAGGAGGTTTAGAATAAGAAGGGGAGAGAATAAGGAAAAGATAACAAAAAGGGAAATTAAAGAAAATTTTTCTTTTATATTCAAAAAAAAAAAAAAAAAAAACACACAAAAAAAAAAAAAACCTTAAAATTCAACAATGAAGATGACGCATACGATCGATGAAGTAATCAATGACTTATTAGCAGCAACTCCACGTGAGGTTCTGATCACGCTCCCGCCCTATAATGAAAGGCAAACTTTGAACGAAAAGGTTGACATAAGCTAAGGAACCAAAAGTTCAAAAATAGAATTAGAAGCTTAATCTACGGCTTCTATCTGGGGAAGTTATTAGATGAAGCAAGTCCGAAAGAACAGACCGAATATCGAAAGAAGATTACAAAGCACTATTATACGGCCGCGATCAGAATTTACTGGTTATTCGAAATATACGGAATTGAACAAGTATACCGAACACAGAAGTTAATTCTATCCGATTTCGTAACTATGAAGGCAGCAGACTTCCGAAGCTTATTTTAGTTCGTGGAATGAACAAACTAAGTAGAGAAAAATGTAACGATTAAGAATGGATCGATGATGCATTAGGCGCAGATGGTGGATCGATTGCATAATTATTTACATTGCATAATTAGTCTATATAGCAGATGTAGCAGATTTGGCGAAAATAGCATATCAAGTAGATTTAGCATAAATAGCAGATTTGACCGAAATAGCATAACTAGCACATATAGCATATATAGAATAGTTAGTATAATTAGCGAATATAGTATATTATGTAGATATGTAATTAGTATATAAGTGTAAGCATTTATTAAGTTGTAAGAGGTCTCAAAAAAACATCATAATCAATAAACTATCTATTTGACTCCGCCAAATCGAACGTCCTCTTTCGAGACATTACAGTATTCTCATTGAACATTACGCAAACTCTTTCCTGGTTTACCCTAACGAGTAGAGATTTTTAGACGTACGTTCTTCCCGCATAACAGTATAAAGATTAGTTTAAAAATAATAAAAATATTATAAGATTATTATAATAAAAAATATTATAAAAATATTTAAAGAAGAAATATGGTGCAGGAAGTCTATACTCAACAGTTACACAAAGTGTTTCAATTTTTTAAATGGTTATAACTTTTATCTAAGAGGTTTTAAAAAAATCTGACTGGTAACTTTATAAAGCTATATTAGCACTACATATGTACCAAATATCTTTTCAAAATCTCATCACTGTAATGAGTTGAAGCTTTTTGAAAATTGAAATTTTATATATAAATTTGTAAATTTACATATAAAATTTCAATTTTCAAAAAGCTTCAACTCATTACAGTGATAAGATTTTGAAAAGATATTTGGCACATATGTAGTGCTAATATAGCTCTATAAAGTTACTAGTCAGATTTTTTTAAAACCTTTTAGATAAAAAGTTATAGCCATTTAAAAAATTGAAACACTTCATATAACTGTTGAGTATAGACTTCCTGCACCATATTATATTTATAACATCATGTTATTTTAACACCCTATATGTCTTATTTAGAGTTAGGGTCTGGTTTTAAGATACATAGAGATTTTTATTATACAATATATATTAGACATAAGGTTCTAATAGGTCCTAATTTCAGTTTTTATAAAGTTTTCAGGGGTGCTGATTATTTTTCTTAGAGTACTTACACCCATTTACTTAGTACATTTTTGAGATATTGCAAAAGATGTTATATAATACGGTATTATAAATATAACTTTCCTTTAAAGAATAATATTTCAAAAGGATATATATTATTTTACCAAAAATTATTTCAATACTAATTTATTTTACTAACAATTAATTCAATAACAAATTTATTTT